CCACTCATGTATAGCCAGCTAGCTACAGCTAGGTAGTTGACTGTACACCCTCAACACACGGTGGCGTTCCAATCTTAACATTTATATTATGGCGAATGGTCGGAAAAAGTGTTCCCATATATAGATACATTTATAGATATAGCTACAAGGAGCGACAAAGAGTTGTTAAAACCACCAAATAATAATTAATTATTGTTTCGAATTCCGGATTTCCGGAAATGGTTTTACTGCATCGTAGAGCTACTGACCTAGGAAGTCGAAATTGAATTTTAAAGTAATTGTAATGGTACCATGGAAAAATACAGTAGATGACTGACCTTTTAACAAAACAGAGAATAATAAAGTAACGAGAATGGTCACTCTCCGCCCATCTCTAGCTTTAGATACCGCATATTGACGGTCACATTGACGGAACGGCAACATTTGCTAGTAGAACTTAAGAAAAAAAAAATTTCAAATTCTATTTACGGAGGGAATTTTATGACATTTTAGTTTGCATCAGAATCGTTGTGATCGCGCTCTATAAATATTATTTATAGAGCGCGATCACAACGATTCTGATAAATTCCAAAACACAGTATAACAGATGTTCATAAATTCGAACTACTAATAGAAATGTCGTATGTTAAAAGGAAAATGTTGACACTAGATATTTTAAAACATTTTATTAAAAAAAAAAAACTGCTGGACACTCAAGCAAGACGAAAAAGTGTCATTTTTGATGGTCTCGCCCGTGTACGGCTATATATCTTCATAAATAGAATAAAGAGAGGAGTTTATTTCATCCGGATCTATACAAGTATCTATGTATATGGAACACCTTTTTCCGATCATAGATTATGGCCAGCAATAGGTATTCTGTCCTAATACTTGTTTATAAAATTCTAAAGCAGGTATTCAAATATCACCTGGCGCGTTGTAAGTCGTGTTGGCCAGGAACAGTGCGCTTTCAGCGTCTGACACATTGAAGATCACGTACGACATCTTGCAGTAAATAGTGCCATACGTTACATTGCTGAGAATCACACTTTTGTACACGTCGTAGAGGCCGTTTACTGACGACGTTCTGTCTTCGTAGGTTTCGTCATATTCGCCATTTTCACTGCAAAAACAAACACTATTATACAAATTTTTGTATTATGCCAACTTTAACATATTAGCTTTTTTACTAGCAGTAGACCTCCTTGTGGAAGAGTTCGTCCAGAGAAGTGTTGCCACCTTACCTATTTCTGCAGCCAAAGAGTAAGTTAGTATTACTACGTTTCGATTTTGAAGTGTGCTGGTGAAATTACAGGCACAAGGGACTTGTCCACTTATGTCTCAGTGTGACGGGCGCATTGGCAGTGCCCCTCGATCTTTGCGATTTAAAACTTTGAGTGGCACTGCAACTGTTATAGACAGGCGTGTAGCTTACCATCAGGCGTACGACGTGTTCGTCCCGTCACTTGATATTATATAAAAAAGAAAAAACAAAAAGGCAACATCACATACGTTGCGTTGGTCTAATCCCAAAGTAAGTAGCTAAAGCACTTGTGTCGTAGGAATCAGAATCAACGACGGTACCAAAAACACCCAGACCCCAGGCAATATAGAAAAGTTAGTTTCTATACTGACCCGGCCGGGGATAGAACCCGGGACCTCAGAGAAGGCGACATCATGAAAATCGGTATTCAAGCCACTTGATCACGGAGGTCGTGACGAGAATATACGACCTCCGTGGTCCAATTAACTTTCTAGATTGGCTCGGATCTGTTTGTGGTATCTATCGTCGTTGTTTCCAATTTCCATAACCCGGGTGCTTTAGTTACCTACTTACTTTGGGATTGGAGCATCGTATGTGAAGTTCTCTAACATTTATATTTATTTTTATATCATATTGAATATTATGATGTTCTACTAACCATGATATTAATTTTATTTTTTTGAAATTATTTCACTAGTTGTTATAATAACTCGTATTAAGACAAAGATCGAAAACAAATAAAAATTCCTTCGATCTGGTTGGACTGGAACCCGTGTCATTATGCCAAAATAGGGCAGCCGCTTTGCTTCAGATCGAGTCGGCAGACCTTACGAATTTCTCTATACGTCATCGTTACAGACCTTTGTTTTTGGTTTTAACGGCTTTTATTTATTTAGGTATAAGGCTGCTACCCGATGCACCGCATGCGCGTAGTCGATATATACATATATAAACCAACTGCACACAGCCGACGCTGATTGCAAGCAGTTATCGCCGCGTGCCTAGAACGTGGCCTCCGAGTATAAATATTATTATTATTATACTCGATAGGCGTTCGCCACCAAAATATCGAAATGATAAAGAAAACTAGATTTTCCCTTTATTTTTCTTTACCACCGAAACACACCTGTGGTTTAGCGCTTGGCGCGGCTGCTTTGGTCATCCTGTGGTAAGGTCTGTACTGCTCGTGAAAGAGACGAATCAGGACCATGTGAAGGATTTACTAGCCTTAACAGTCGTTACACATGGCGGCTTTTAGCAGCGATGCAAACGCGCTCGATACAAAAGTCGCGCGTGTGTGTAAAGGTACTGCGTCGCTACTGCATCGCGTTTGCGTAGCTGATAAAACTCGCCGTGTGTTAAAACATAAATGTTGTTCAGTACAGGGGGTCTACTCCAGTCCTCCTCGGCCAATTTAAGACTATTTCAAGTATGAAGCTTCATTCGCATCATGCGTTAAGTATAGTTATTTTTGATACAAGTGCGGAAAGTTAGGCATTATTCGCGAGTCTCGTGGCTTCTTGGCCCGAGGCAGAGGCGATGGTCAAGACTCGAGACAAGTGAAAATGACAAATCCGCACGTGTATCAACCGACGTTTTTTAATACATTTGCGAAAAGTCTAAGATTGAAAGTAAAATAATACAGTATATTTTAGTTGCGCGCCGCGCAGCAGTCTCGCGTAATGCTCACCTCCGGTCATTCACATCTTTATGGAAAATATTTTGGTATTTTTAAATGTAACCCGTTGTTTTATAAAACACCTATGCAATTTAAACAAATAAGATGTTTATAAGTAAATATAAGTTTAAATTATGAATGACTTACGTCACAAAGTACACAAATATTAAATAAATATATAACCTCTAGTTCTATGTTTAAGACTTGAAACAACAGTAAATTTTAAAAAAATGGAAAAGTAAAAAGCACTAGTACGAAAAATCCAACTTTCGGCACGATTTGTAGTACGAAAAACACCACGTTTTGAGCAACTGTATTAAAAAAGTTATTTCGGACGGACGTCCGATTGAGAACGAGAGTAGACCCCCTGGTTCGTACAAAACTAAATAAAATTATTTGACAAAAAATTATTCAACATTTTACTGCAAAGCATTACTAACCCGTATATTGTTAGCATGGGTTCAGGGGCGACATTAAGTGCTTCGCACTTGGCGAGGACTTCGTCATCAGTGTCGTTGTCATCTGGCATATCGGCAATTACTGTGATATTCAACAGAGGACCACTACCGCGAGCTGAAATGAGACACATTTTTTGTCTATTCGAAAGGTGTGACATAAAAGCTGAGAACGTAATACCATAGTATGACAAAATTTATGTCTTACGGCTTTATGGCACTCTTGTCCAAACAGCTGTCAACACGTCTACTATTTGAAGTATTTTTTTTAAAACACCGAACAAACGCTTTAATTAACTGTATCTCTGACCGAACGGTTACCATACTGGTCTGCCACGCAGAGGTCCCGGGTTCAATTCCCGAGTCGGGAGAAATATTTGTAACATTTTATTTCTCTCGTGAGTTTAGGTGTAATTTGTGGTTGTCTATATGTGTGTCCATGGCACCCGCGACACAGATCTCCCTAGTGCGGGGTTATGTATGTGTGCGTATATGAAAAAAATCTATAATTAATGTGTCATATGTGACACACGCTGTGCAACTCGAGTGCACCGAGAGATTATGCGAATGTGTGCGCGGAACTGGCGTGCACACATTTTTGTATGGAGTTACAACCCTTCTCGTCTTATTATACTATAGTAATGCACCCACAATAAAAAAAGCAAGCTCTATTCGTTAAAACTCTGTCGGCCCATGTTGATATTATTAGAGATATCTCGAACATCACGATGCAGAGTTTTAGGATAACAAAAGTGAATTCAATGCTTACTGTAAACAAATAATTCACTGGTTTTCCGTATATCATCTTCGTAATAACTGGATGGATGGCATTGGTATCGACCTGAATGTTCCGGCTGGGCGTTTTTCAGCTCTAGAGTATCTAAGTCATTTTCTACAATACCTAGAAAATAAATGAACACATTTAGAAAGCATTTCTTATCCTTAAAGGGCTGGAATACAAAACTATTGTAATAACTTATCATCGAAGAAAAAGTTTTCCTGTGATTTACATGTTCGAATTTTCAACAAGGACTTATTGAAATGAGATTTAGTAACCTTAGAATAGCGACTAAAATTGTAAACTCACTTATACTGTGGTTAAACCTCGGTAATACCATTGCATGCTCGCCAGTCAATCGCTGATATATTTGAACTTTATCATTTTGTGTTTTAAACAATGGTATAAACCACCATTTCATTACGAAACCACTGTTCTCCTTGCCTTCAATCTTGCATTTCAGTTTAACATTTTCGCCTACCTTCACCGAATGCGGTACATCAAACTCTGCTATTTTAATTTGTTGGGACACTGGAAATATTAAAACAACATACTGAATATAGGTATACCTAAGTCTTCTAAAGGCAATATACGGCGTAAGCGCTATTTTAAATGTGCATGTTACGAATTAATATGTATGAAAACAGGTGGAACAGATACTCTTTTCCTCAATCAAAGACCGGATTCAACAGGTTCAATTACAAGTTAACCACAAACTGCTGGAAAAAAACGAGTAAAGAAGTGAAGAAAGGTTTCCATTAGATTGTAGTCCATTTATAAACACAGAAGCAATATGGATCCCTGGTTTCTCGTTATTTAATTTTTAGGTCAAGAGCCGGACAACCGATGTTATGGGAAACTAAAATAGATGGGTTATTTTTTTAAATCAAGTCAGTGTCGAGCGATTTGGAACCGAAGCGGTACATTATGGAACCCGTAAAATGTATGAAACCTTGTTACTATTCAAGGTCACATACATGTCGCCCCTTCTCTGTCATAAGTGGGAGGATAAACGATTTTTATGGCACAGTATTTTTGGTTTTCCACATCAGGTCTGTAGTAAGAACTACTTCTTACCAAACATTTTTTTTATGAATAACATTTTGCAGTCGGCCGCCGATGGCCTGAGAGCTGAAGGCTCTTAACACGTATAATTTTTTTTTACAATATCCAGGGACGGGACGAACAAGTCGTGCGCCTGATGGTAAGCTACACGCCTGACAACAACAATTGCAGTGCCACTCAGAGCTTTAAATCGCATAGATCTGAGGGGCGCTGTCACTGCGCCCGTCAACCTGAGACATAAGTTGACAAGTCCAATGTGCCTTTAATTACACCAGCACCCTTACCTTCAAAACCGAAACACAGTAATGCTGACATTACTGCTTGGCGGCAGAAATAGGTAAGGGCGCAGTACTTCCCCGGACGAACTTTTTCACAAGAAGCACTACTGCTACTAAAAAGTTGCAGGCCTGAGGGCACCCAGGTGGGCACTAGGGCTTTCATCACGGGAATCTCGATCTCGAAAATTTCGTTCGAGAGTCTCGACAATTTTTTGGCATTTCCGAGATTCGAGGCTGATGTTTTCACTATTGAGACTTTTCAAATTAAATCACTTAGTTAAAAAGTATAAAAAATTTACTAAACCAACAACATTTTTTTATTTTCGTAAATTGTTACATGGGCATGGCAAAGCTATAGAGTGAAACTTATTATAGCCTGTGGAGATTGAAGGACGGTAATAACAAAATCAGGTTCTCTCTATCTGAAACTGTATTAAACGCCCTTTGTTTCTTACGTATCCACCATAAACATAAAAGAAATAACTTTAATAAATAATTTTCATTTTTTATGATTTGAGTTAATAAAGAACTTGTTTCAACTGTTTAAATGCCTAGCCTATAAATATGGAAACCTACTTTTGAAACAGCCTCGAAAGTGTCGTTTTAAAAAATATAAGACCTACGACTATTAGTGGGGAATGTTTGCTTTTGAAACTGAGTAACTTTGTTTAACTTACTCAACTTCGGCAAAAATGTCAAATACAGCAGTTAGTGAGAAGCACAATACCTCATACTTTTGGACATGGGTCCTCTTGAAGTACCTACGTGACAGTGAAAAACAATTTTCAACGGCATTGATCATGGGAAACACGAGTTTTTATGATCACGTTTACTAACATCAGGATTGAAAGTTTGGTGTTATAATAATAAAATTAAATCAGAGATATTCTATTCATGAGACGTTACAGAAAATTAGGTCATATCCCGATGAATAAGCGGCTATCTTAGCCAACCTTGGAGCGAGAATGTTATAAATACCACACGCGCGGTTCACGTTGGTCGGTCCCGAAGACAATTGGTATTTTCGTTAAATACTATAGATAACTGTTTTGTTTAATTTTTTAACATGCTGAAATTACTTGCATACTCGAAAATACTTTCTAGTTGAACAGAGAAAGACCTAATCTGTACTGTAGTGGTACATTACTAAATTCACAATAACACTGAGAATTTAAGTAATTGATATAGAGACAAATATATAGACGTGTCTTGTAATGTTTACGTACGTTATCGTGACCAATTTAACTATGTTATATTTCTTTAACAACAACACTTGAGTCCAATATAAAAAACCAACATACTATTTAAGGGCTCATTGCGTACCTACTCGTATACCGCTGATCTTTAAATTCACGTGTACACATACATAAAGCAATGAAAGTGATGTTACTTAAAAAAAAAGGAATCAGAAAACATTGCTCTGTCGAATATTCCAACAACTGTCTTTTTGCAACAGCGAAAGTTTTTGAAATGTTAAGTCATACTATTTTGTGGTTATTTAAAATTAGCGTTGGATATTAATAAATTATTATAATTTTCGAAATTTACTTAGCACTTGTCATCATCAATTAAATCAGAATAATTAATTATTTACTCAAAAACGTTCGTTTCGACGGGGAATGAGCGATGTATGGATTAGTTGCTAAATAGTAAAAGACCCGTGTCAAACAGTACAACGCGAATGGGTTGATACAGAACAAATAATATGCTCAAAATTACACTATAAACTCATAAAGTGACGTGGTTTCAAAATACCCCTCTGTTTTAAAATTATAACAAAATATTGTTTTACATAGGCTCAATTTCTCGAACTAAAATCACGTACAGAACCATTAAGAGGCACTTCATCCAAGGTTATTCACACACCTGCAATAAGAGAAAGCAGAAGAAAACACACACGAAACATCGTGGTTACACAGTGGCACCGCGAACCGCGATTCTGTATACTGCGAGTCCGCGATTGCGTGCTACTGACCGCGAGAGCCGAAAATCTCTTACTTTCGCACTACAACTAGCACATCATCCCTGACATTTATTATTAGTCGCAGTGAACACACGTTAACCTTGATCTCATAGGAATAAATACTCTCATTTTCAGTACTCACCGAAAATTTATCTTGATAACGGTCTCTCTAGTCGTCCCTCATGTCTGAGGTGTCAGCTTCGTGCCTACTTCTGAAGCGGGTGAACTGCCTCCATTTGTGTCTATCCAGCTCGTCCCCTACGACTGTGCAATTTGATGACAGTATTCAATTCTAATTTATTCATAGCCCTAAATACATTTATACACTTTTAAAATACTCGTAATTAACACGGGCAATGCTGGATTTACCACTAAGCTCACTAGGCCCCGGCCGGTCGCTAAATAAAATATTAATTACATAAAATATAAAAAAAAACTAGAAGCTCCTAAACTTTAAACCCTTATTTATAAATTCGACTTGCTGATAGCTAAGAGTAAAAATATGTAATAATTTTGGGAATCGGAAAAATATAATCCTACTTTAGTCCATTGAATTAAAAATCGCATTGTACTGAAGGTAGGAGAATAGTATACGTTTTTTTCTACATCATATAATATATATCATATAAAATAATAGAAACGTGAGTAATTTTAGCGCAGTTATAAAATTGCATTTATTTTTCGTTAAACTTAATAACAAAGTTATTAATAACATTTATAATAAATATTATATATTATGATATTTTGCAATATGACAATAGCGAGACCATGTTTACCTTATTAAATCGTTTAAATAATAATACAAATATGGATTCCATAAACATTGTTAAAAAACCGCTTAATTAAAAAAGATACAATCAATACATATTATAATCTTATCAAAGACCTTCCTCCAACAATATTAATGCTAATTTAGACGAATACAAAAATAACTCTATTGCCCAGTGAAATCGAGCATCACACCTTTCGTCTTCGCGTTACTTGCTTTTATAAATAAACATAACCGTGACGCAAGAGCATATGCGGAATTCAGTGCTTTAAATAAATCTAAAATATTTTATGATCGCTTAAGTCATACACAAATAATACATACATTGGGCACGGACTCCTAAAAACTTCAACATACGGAAAAAAGTACCATCACTTCTAGAAATGTCTCGACGCTATACGAATGACATCATAGTATAATGATTAATTTCAACAAAAATGTTTTTTTTTGCGTCCAAGTGAAACTCTAGCACGTATTAAGGCCCCTTAATATTTTTGCGCCTGCAACCTTTCGGTTTCCCTCGATTAGCCATGATGATTCACGTGATTTCGCTCGTGATTTTACTACGCAATCCTAACATGTACATTCCACTGCTGGGTACAGCTGCTCTCCTTTTAACAACATTTTTGATCTGTTTTTAGATATCGACTGTGAACTGGCAACTGGTACTATCTCAATTTTGCCAACTTTACAGTATGAAGAAAAAACTTGTTTGCGTCATTTATATAGCATCTGGTTTATTAAATAAAAATACGTAGTGTTGAAACATTTTTATTACACATGTTATTAAAAACAATTGAATTTCTTGCTACGCGTATGAAATAGTACAAAATGGTATTAAAAAGTGAAATCTTTAGAAAATTGAGATAGTACCGGTCACCAGTTCACACTCGATATTATATCAAACTAATCCGTGTAACTTTAAAAACAGAAAACCACCGTGAGACTCTGACATATTAACTAAAATAACCCATAACTCACGTATTTAAGTCGATTTTTTTTTCGGTTCCGCGGCAGTCGAATCACCGTTGGGACCATGAATTGATTCGAAACAGAGCAAAAATTCAACTTAAATACGTGAGTTAGCGGCAGTCGAATCTCCTTCGGGACCATGAATTGATTCGAAACAGAGCAAAAATTCAACTGAAATACGTGAGTTATCCGTTATTGTAGTCAACTTTAAAAACCACGTAAATAAATATTATGTTGACGACCTCCGTGCCATAACGTTTTGCACTGTGGTTGCTGGATGAGGGTCTTCTCGGTAGTACCAAATTGGGAAAGTAACTTTTCTAAATTAATTCTGGTCTGAGGGTCCTGAGTGGTGCCCCGGAGTGAATTTTGTTGCTCTGGTACTAATAACGAAGGGAATACTCTAGTTCGAGACTAGGCACATTATTATTGTATGTGTCAACAGATTGAAGTGTACCACTGTTGCCATATTATTATGTTCAGGAATTTTACAACGCGAAATGTCCCAACAAACGGTCCTGAAAGACAATATGCTTAAAAAGCGACGGGTGTGTAGGAGTTCGACTCGGCTGCCGTGTAGCGAAAACATGAGCAACTGTTTCTCTAACATGCGCTCGTGGCACATCGCCACGGAGTGATAGTAGTCTTATAAGTTGTTCCTCTGTTATGTCCGGGCATTTTTCTAGTACGCCGTGCAGGTCTAGGGACAACATTTCGATATCCTGGCATTTGAGTACCTGTGTACATAAGAAATACTTGGAATATGTTTTATGAGTAAAAATAAGCGCATACACATGCACAGTATATGTATATATAGCACTGTTAATACAATAGTGCATAAACTCAATAAGTGTATTTTTTTCAGAATCGATGAAAAAGGAAATACTCACTTCCCGTGAAGGATTATTAAAATATTAATATAAAATATTAATTAAAATGAACAATAGGTTAAATGTTATTACGGACATATACATATATTTAAAACAAAAGGCGAAAAATAATTTCATATTATTTAGTAAGAACTGTGTCCAAAACAAGCTCACAAAAAATTGTGACATTTTGAGATCATTCTGAATATTTTAATTGTTTCTCACAATATTCTAACGACACCGACAGTTGTAGTGTAGAGATTAAAATTTTACGTTCAGCAATAGTATAATCTTCAATTTAACTTATTTTGAGTTACAACACTATTGTAATAGCAGTGCAATATATTAGTATAGTGTAAACACAGAGAACATTTATATATAGGTGGTACGTAGCCTTCTTATTTGAATGCTGGCTGTTAAATTCTCTACGTGAACTGTATATATAGTAAGTAATCTCAATCCGGGCTAGACGTTATAACTAACGACCAGGATGTAAATATTAACATCGAGCCTCAGAAAAAAACAATGGACCATAATCAAATACTACTGAATTTATAAAGCGCTTTTTGTGTCACACCACTGACAAACTAGCCACTAAATGTCACAGGTATGAGTGACAGAAACGACGCTCTACAAAGCCGAAAACAGGCGATCATCTTATTCTAAGGCTCGATGAGTAATATAGTAACTACAACTCATTATATTACAATGAATCTGCACTATGCTACCGTGCTTACGATAAGAACAGCAAGTTTACTCGTATATCGCACCTCCGGTAAAACACACCACGTAACTACAAAAAATTGTGATATTAACCACTTTTTAAATGCAATTTACATGGAAAAGCAGAGACGCATTATGCATTCCTTAATTTTTTCTATAGAGGGTGTAATGCGTATTGAAATAGTATATAACATTTAAGAGCTCTTGAAATGTGCGCTGTAATCCTAAATACAAAACTTTTAATTCATTTTCATTAAGTCACTGTTCCATCAGCGGTGCGATATGTATTTCAGACATACTTACTGTTAATATTGTTAGCACGGCAGTACGCATCACAAGCTCTATCTATTCTACGTATACATACATTAATTTATCTTTTGCTGTGTATATTTGTGACGTATATTGTAAAATACTTTTTAAACACTTAATTGCGTGGCCGGTAACGTTATTCAGCATATTAAAACCATGATTTTGTGTATCGCTTAATACGTTCTGAAATAATATTTAATTAAAAATTGTATATGTCTCCAGGGACAAATGTCAAACAGGTGAATCGTGAAAAACCAGCAAACTGCTTAGACAGTTCTTTTCTCAATCAGTTTTATTTAAAAAAATCTATATAACAAACCTACTTTATGTATTAGACGGCCTTAAGCCAGATTGTTCACTTTTAATCCACGTACGCTCATATAGGGTGAAATATTATTGCCCATCATATAGGGTGAATAAACCTCATCTCGCGGAACGGTTTCCAGGGGTGAGTCCCTTCTCGGGAACAACTGCCCGGACTTTCCGCATATAAGGAGAAAGTAATACACTTTCATACAAGGTGAACAATAAATCTTCTGAACAACAATTTGGAGTTTTCACTTGGCTGTATTGGTAACCTCAACCCACGGTAAAGAGAGAACCTCCCTCCTTTACAACTATTTATTTTTAAGTTTACCATTATCGTTCTAAGGCCTCGTGCACATCAAAATGTACATAATATATGAAGTGATTCAGTCCCAAATAGAGATGGGTTATGGATAAATATCATTGGGATAAATACTCAGTAGAAAAATAAATATCCATTTTTACTTGATATTTATCCAAAAATGTGGATAAATATTTTTAATCGTCGTTATCTATATTTAGTAAAACAAAATATATTTTTAAGCTTAATTGTACCATTTAGTAGCATGTACGTATGGTATATTGCTTGTTATACCTTTTTTCTACATGCAGTGACAAAAATAATCCTTTTAAGTACCGTAAATCCTTGTATTTTTGTGTGAACCTTATTTAAATGCGTAGTTTATTAAAAAAAATTGTCTCCACACAATATTAATCAGCTGTCTAAAATTTTGTATGGATTTTTTTTCAAGTTACTAAGTTGGTCCGTTTTTGTACATTTGTTCAGCTTCGTATATAGAATAAGGGCGCTCCCTCACCGAGAACATTCGCCTGTAATGTAACATTCAAGATTCGATTAGGCTGCGATTCCACCAGAGATGTGCGAGGTAGCAAGGCGTGCGCGCGACTGCCTCTGAGAGCCCGCGAGAGCCAGGAGAGCCCGCGAGTGCCTTTTAGTGCCCGCAAGTGCCTTTGAGTGTCTTTGAGTGCGTTTGAGTGTCTTGAGAGCCCTTGACTGTCTTTGAGTGCCTTTGAGTGTCTTTAAATATTTTTTAGAGCCCGCGAGTGTCTTGAGTGCCTTTGAGTGCCAGCGCGCGCCTTACAAAGGTACACAAAGGCACTTAAAGGCACTCGCGGCACTCAAAGGCACTCGCGGCCACTCGCAGGCACCTAACTTAAGTAAAGACTTGAAAAGATATCCACCATATCTGGTGGAGTCGCAGCCTTACAATTTGAACAGATTGTTAGATTACGTGAACGAGGCTACCGAATGTTACGCAGCGAATGCTCGGCTCACCTCCCTCACCGCCTGTAATGTTCGCTTTTGAACGTTACATTACAAGAGCATGTTCGAGCAGTTAGTGAGATGTTATCGCCCTTTATATATCATTCCGCTCCTTGATCACGAGTTACAAGTAACAGA